GTAAAGAATACTGCAGCTACTCAGTGGAAGATCAGCGTATGTACAAACGGCCTTCCGGCATCCAGTAAATCAAATTTCAGAATTTCCACAACTTCCGACAATTCACGTCCAGTGTACTTTGAAATATTCGTAGAACTGAGGAAGTCAAGAGAGCCATGAAGGTAACAGGTCAAAGGGGCAGAAAAAAAAGCTTTTAAACATCATATTAACTGACCAGCATTTGCTTAGTAACCAGTCCGAAAAAATGTCTTTTTTTCAAAATCTTAGTTTTCCAATCTAAGGGTTTAATAGATTTCAAAAACTGAGCAGAGCACAGCTAATCTGGATTGATGGTTGGTACTTCTTTGTCTGAAACACAAGCGATCATAAAGCAAAAACCGAGCTGGAAAGATATTGCGCCACGACTAAAGTAACATACCGCGGCACCTGCTAGTGATTCTCGCCAGGCCTACGAAAAAGTTCTCTAGCACGTAAAATTCGGAGTCAGCAGTACATTTTTATGAATAGCCATTAATTACCCCACGTTTGCCTGTAAATAATGGCATTGCGTGATTAGTGACCACCTAGGATGTCAAGGACTTCTTGCTGCTGGCGTAAGTAGCAACGGATGAATATGCGGCAAATCCAAAAATCCAAAGCCACTAAGGCATGGTGCTTCACGAAAGTTTGTCTCCTCTTCAGTGATATGGCTATCGTACGCTCTATGCTTTAACATCTCTATCTCTATACAACTGATATTATATGAGTCGATCATTAGGAATTTTGTCTGACTTTTAGCTTTAAAAAGCAAGCGGATCGGTTAACGACAAATATCACTTATTGTAATAGATGCACAGTACTAAGCAGGCTCTGTGGCACGACGTGGTGAACCTGACTCTGATATTGGTGTCAGTTCAATGCTAGTTTTGATCGCTGTTATAGTTCAACATCAGAAGAATTCTTTAAGGTACTTTTGTCTAAATCCTTATCAGAAAGTTATCTACAGTTAAACCGTTTAAGCTAGAGGAGGCCCGCAATAAACGTTGGTCCACTTTTGCTCCACAGGCTCATCAAGCCTTCCGTCCTTCCGGGGTCTTGAAATTGCTACCAAAGATATCTGGGAGGATATCACCACTGGTTCGATACATCGTTAGGCCACCGTGAGTCATTGTATGAGCCAAATATGCTTTCCATCACTTCCGACGATGCTTGGTGAAGTCGGCTGCAAGGTGTATTACTCAGGGATTGATCGACATCGAAAACTTTATCATTTTAGCTTTTTAATGTAGTAGATTGGTGTACCACTAGAGATATCAACATAAATGGAACCCATGACCAGTACGCTAACAGGAAGAGAATGAAACAAAAGAGTTCAGTGTAGCGTACTGATCATTTTTCACGACACATACCTTTTCTTTCACTGAAACGTCTAATTGGGGATATCACCTGTCCTTATCGCCAACATCTATGTCAACAAAATATTGCAGATTCAAAATGTGTTCGGCAATGAAATGCGTATGAGGCGATATGGCAACATATCAGTTGCCTGTTTACTCAAAGTCTGGTGCACCTCTTAAAACCCGTCTTTAATCGGTTTCCGAATTGGAACTGAGAAAGAGCACACTGATTTTCACTAATCCGACAATCACAATCGACACGTTTACCCACAACTGAATTGTTAATGTGTTAAATTCCTTGTCATAACCTCCGAGTAGGAGTTTCATTCAGTACGGCCTCACATGGATAGTGATAGGAATTTCTGGCAGGGAGCCTGACCAAGGAAGAAATTTACTTCAGGAAAGCACTCGAATAACGGTGTTGATCAAAAATGTCTTGTTTTCTACTCCATACTACGAATCTCCTCTCTGAAATTGTTAATTATGCTTCCCAATGTGACGGCGACTAGGTGCTTTTGAATCATCGGAATTAATAATTATAGTCTATCTATAAAAGTAGAATGGCTTCCAGCTACAATATACCTCTCTGACATCGTGAGATGTCGAGTAGACGCGAGTCGAGCCACGAAACCCGTTGGTAGTACTGCTTTAGGAAGATTTCAGAAAAAAGTATGGTGTTTTGTGTGTCTCCCAAGCGAGGATGTGTCGAAAAGTTGCTTCGACTGAAGTTGTTCTTCCAATTTATTGACCATGAATGACCGCTTTATAGCTCGTTTAAGAAGGATATCTATTTGTCGTTGGATTTTTTCTCAGATGTTGTTGGATTTCATGTGTGGAGTCGATTCTATATCTGCCTGTTTGTTCAGCGAGCACAATGTTCCAAGATCTGCTTTTAACATGCATTATCTCCTGTCAATTAAGTGGGCGCTACGTTTCCTCCTAGTTTGAAAAAGATGAAAAATCTATAATATCTCACTGGTTAATGGCCAGTAGTTCAGCTAAACCAAAAAGATAGAAAAGTGTGAGTAGTGAAATATATTCGGATTTGATTCCGGAGTTTACCATAAACCTGAGCTACTTTCAGCCTGAGTCAAATTAACATATAGGAAAAGTAACAAACACTAAGTGCGCTGTTAGTACGCTGCTGTTGTATTTATACAAGCTTCCAGCCGATCATACACACAGCTAAACGTATCATTTCGCTACAATCAAATCCTTCGGTTAAGGTCCGCCCATAGAGACAACGAACCTGTTCTTCCTGCCTTTCGTATGTGTAACTTTCATATCGATGGGAACCTGCTCCGTTCAAGGTGAAACTTATCATCAAGTAACAAAAACTATTGAAAACAAAGTTTTTGTAGTGTGAGCAAAAGTTTTTCAATCTCGCTATGCTGTCAGAAACTCAGAAGATCCACCTAAAACACCTGTTCCCCCGTCATTCGTTGAACTTTTCGAACGGGTGCCAGCAACGTAGCAGAGCAGCGGATTCTACTCAACTCACAAGCTTAACACTTTTCTTTTGCGATTTTTGAAGAATTATAGCAATTAGTTCGTTGGACTTTATGCAGTACACTTCACTTCATGGCGCCAGCTGCTAACTGCTCCTGTCACTGGTTTTCGGTAAGATGGATCAAGTGTCCACTTCACTTAATCGTCATTGTTACACATACAGCCGCCTCTCTGGCCTTGGATAATCGCCGTATGCTGGAACATTTCCCATTTGCATGATAGAGAATGCTCTCAGCATCATCACCTTCATCGCCCGAACACTAACTCACGTTTCTCCAGCTTAATTGGGAAACAAGTTCATATCTGGCCTTTACAATGGCTCGCGGTGGCCTACTGATGCATAGACCCAGTGCTGCTATCCTCCAGACAAGTCTGATACCAATTCCCCGACCCGGGAGGGATAGAAGGCTTGGTGAGCCTTTTGCGCTGGGGATCGCTCCCATGTGTACTTCAGGGCGACTTCGACCACTGCCCTACAGGCGCCGGGAAAGAGGTTTAGTGCAGAAGAATTTTGCCATGGAAATGATGGGCACGAAATCAATTGTTCTTTGTCTTCTTCATTACATCGATGCTATTTTGATCTCCTCAAGCAGATCGCTTCTTTCTGTTCTACTCTAGAGATAAGTCGTTCATGAAGTTGATTTTTCGAGTATGTCCACATATCTGCATCGCTCTCGTATATCTGCTCTATTGAGCATGGATGCGAGCAACATATTGAAATTCAACCGAATGCAAATTGTATCCACATAGCTTATTTGAATCGACAAGCATTCTTCTCTACGAGCAAGTGTTTACTGTTACCTAATAAAAAGTGCTCGTGTAGTAGGCAAAGAAGCCGTGGCTGTGCCAATGTTTCCTGACTTCTTCTTCCCAAACTTCAATCGAACGCCTTTGTTAATTCAGTCGGTGAAAGTTTGATGAAGGGTCTTCTCTTACTCTCATTAATTTTCTAACTATTCTCGCCACCTTGAGAATATAATCCATCGTGCACGAACTTTTTCGAAATTGTGATTGCTTTCATGGTTTTCGTTCATCCAATGCACTTTCAGCATTGAGTGGTCACTGCAGAGAACAGCTTGAACACGGTGCAAAAGAGCATAGCGCCTTTCAGACTAAAGAACTGTTACTACAATAAATCCATTCTCTCTAATCTGATATGTGGGAAGAAGGATGTAGCTGTCGAAGAAATTGCAGTAGACGTCGTCTATGCCTTTGCCAATTTCTATGAATTCAATCGGCAGTGCGGCCGTTCCTTTCGTATGGTCTTCACCGATCGTTTGTCTGCAAAACTTTGCTAAGTCGGACGTTAATGAGTTATTAACTGCTGGCTTTACGACACCACATTAGGACATCAGGTCGAATGCTCTTGAAGATACATGTCGCGTACTACTTTAAAACTCGTGGTCTCTTAGCCTCATCGTGATACTGCTGGATAAGCAGACACAGTTCTTTATCCGTGTTATAGGCAGCGGTATCGTCTCGTATGTTGGCTAAAGTTGTGAACCAATTCAAATTTGCAATTATTTTTCTTTTCTTGAATTTTGCACCTTTCACCATTTTCCGCGAAAAGCATATTGAACAAAAAGGTTATGGATCAACCCCATGTAATACTTTTGGATAGCTACGATATTGTTTAGGTAAAGTCTTTTATTAACAATGATGAGACCGATTTTTTCCTTGCAATGCCTCCCACGAGGTTAGGCATCTAACACTAAGAGAGGAGCTTAAGGAATTGTGAGTTGCCATGGATAGTTTTAATCGTCGTAATGAACTCATAGAAGGAAGTTTTTCAGGCTTTTCTTTAGATAAGTCATGTTGTTCAACTTACCAGTTATGATCTTATGGAAGATTTCATATCTTCTGCGGCATTTCCACAAGCTCATATATACTACTTGTACTTGGTCTTCGCAGGAAAGACGAATCACGGTCGGACCCTTAGTTGCTCAGACAAATCGACGCAGTTGAAAATGATTTTGACGAATATAACAATTCTGTTCCATGAGGATTCAAACACAGTAGGATGCTCAGCTAAATTGCACCATTCATAACCGACGAAAGTGAAGCAAACTCCGGGAAACAAATTTAAAGTAAGGAAGCTTATCGATTTTTTTGTAGTACCAAAAGCACAAGCGATTATGTTCCAAGCAGTTCCTGGCGGTTTCTCAACAGCTGTAATTGCGGTTGTCGATTTGACATAACGCAATGGAATGGGGACGGTAAACTATTGGGTCTTTCGTTATGCTCACTGAAAGAATTATGACTAAAATTCAACGCATCATTTAGTTCGCCGGCGCTTCGACTGGGCTGCTCCCAGGTGATCACGGTTTCCACGTTCATGAATTCGGCGATCTCAGTAATAGACGCTTAGGAGCAGGACTACAATACAACCTTTTTATATCACCACATGGCGGACAAGACGACCCACCTCCTTCAACTCACGTTGGGGATCTTGGAAACATAATGACACCTGTGAGCCCTTCACTCTACTTTGTGTGTCTTTGATACCTATCTCTATACATTTAAAGAGGGACTAAACGATTTCCTTTTCCATTATTGACTCCATGTCAGCCAATTTCAAGGCAAGTGGTCCAACAACGTTTGTCATCCACGACTCCTTCGTTACTTTCACCGGAAATCGTGGAATTGTTGAACGAGCTATCGTAGTCCACGAGAAAAAAGATGATTTGGGGAGAGGCAGAGACGCAGAGAGTCGCAGAACAGGTAACGCTGGCGCTCGTATCGCCTGTGGAATCGTTG